GGTTTATGTCAATTAAACGCACAAAAAGGATTACAAAGTCTTATATGCGTACCAGAATTCCTTGGGTTTTTGCAAATTTTTCTATAATTAAGTTGATTTAAGTTTTAGTACGAGTAATAATATGAATTGTGAATCACTAAACTGAGTACCCCTTGCTCAAAAATATTTATTTCTAATCATATATATATCACAAGACTTGTGATAAGAGAAAAACATTTCCGTTCATATCCATTTTTGAAAAGAAAAAGAGGTATAACCGCCTTCAACCCTTTAATGAAAAAGAGAACCACTTAGGGAGTAAAAAAAATCTTTTGGGGATAGAGGGACTTGAACCCTCACGATTTTTAAAGTCGACGGATTTTCCTCTTACTATAAATTTCATTGTTGTCAGTATTGACATGTAGAACGGGACTCTATCTTTATTCTCGTCCGATTAATTAGTTCTTCCAAAGATCTATCAGACTATGGAGTGAATGATTTGATGAATGAATATTTGATTCTTTTTTGAACTTGAAATCGATTCAAAAAAAATTCTTCCATTTTTTTCGTTTCATATTCTAAAATTTTTTTTAGAGAGAATATGAAACTCTCTCCTCTATCTAGAATAGAGAAATAATTCAAAAAAAAAATATAGAATAGATTCGGGGTCTTAGTAATCATTTGATAAAGTATATTCTTCAACCTTTTTGGAGTGGGGGTTCGATGGAAGAATTCTTAGAACAACACAGCACAATCAACCCCATTTGTTAGAACAGATTCCTTTGAGTCTCTGCACCTATCCTTTTTTTATTGTTGCTTTCTGAATCTTTATTTTTTGCTTTTTTGACAAAAGGAGTTGGCTCAGGATTACCCATTTTTATTAATTCCAGGGTTTCTCTGAATTTGAAAGTTTTCACTTAGTAGGTCTCCATACTAAGGCTCAAGCCAATTAAGTCTGTAGCGTCTACCGATTTCGCCATATCCCCCCCCCCTTTCTTTTTAAGATTAGGATCTCCATGTGATGTCCTTCCCCTTTATTCTTTCATTTCTGACGGAACCGTCGAATTCATTAGATTTAATATGGATTACTATACCGAAAAATGCTTTCGCCATTTTCCTTTTTTTCTATCTTCCTTCATCTCTATCGGAAGTCTCTATTTAACTTTGATTTTGTCTAGTCAGACATGATTCTATCCTTTCTGTAGCTACAATTCAATATCGAGGGATGTATCCCATCTATATCCTTCGCCTCGTTCATTTTTGTATGCAATTTTGAATACTCAAAGGGTCGATTCTTTTTTTGTCATCATAGTCTACGGCTGCACACAGAAGAATATCTTTTTCTGTTAATATAATCCAGAGTTCTTCTTTATCGATTCTCATTTTTTTATTCTTGTTTATTTTAGGTTTTCTTAAGGCAGACTCTTATAACTCTAATAGTTATCCATTTCTTAGAATTATAGATATAATGAAAATTGTCATAATGAATTTTTGTTTTAATTTCGATTTGAAATGGATTTGAAAAATCAAATTTCATAGAATTTATAAATCTAATTGAAATAGAATCGAATCGTTCTAGACGAAAAATAGAATCTATATAGAAAGAAAAAAACTAAAGTAAATATTTCTATTTATTTGATATTTGATTTGAACTATTTCTTTCAAAAAAAAATTTATATCATAAAATAATAAAAATGAATAAGCTTACACTAAAATGTAGTTTATTGAATGCCAGTGCATGTATAATTTCTGGGAGCCCGCTTAGCTCAGAGGTTAGAGCATCGCATTTGTAATGCGATGGTCATCGGTTCGAGTCCGATAGCCGGCTTTTTCGATTTTTTTTTGGATTTGTGCTTTTTATATATTTTTTTCTTTGAAATCGAAGAACAAAGAAAAAAATAATGATCGATTATGTTGTAGAAACTTCCACCTAGGAATAAAAAGAAAAGGGTTCAAGCTCGACAGACCAAATCAAATCGGGAAAACTCTTTCTTTTCCTTTTTCTTTTTACTTAGATATTTTAATACAAAATATAGAATATTCTATATATTTTGTATATGATGTATATACAACCCATTTCATTATTCATTGGAATCCAACACTTCAGTGGATTTCATTTCATTTAGCATTTAGTTCAGTTTGAATTTCGGTTTTTTTTGTAAAATCGAATATATATATATAAATAGAAATAAAGAAAATAAATAAAGAAAGGAGTCTTTATGTCGCGTTACCGAGGGCCTCGTTTCAAAAAAATACGCCGTCTAGGGGCTTTACCCGGACTAACTAATAAAAGGCCTAGAGCCGGAAGTGATCTTAGAAACCAATCACGTTCCGGGAAAAGATCGCAATATCGTATTCGTCTAGAAGAAAAACAAAAATTACGTTTTCATTATGGTATTACAGAACGACAATTACTTAAATACGTTCGTATCGCCAGAAAAGCCAAAGGGTCAACAGGGCAGGTTTTACTACAATTACTTGAAATGCGTTTGGATAACATCCTTTTTCGATTGGGCATGGCTCCGACTATTCCTGGAGCCCGCCAATTAGTTAACCATAGACATATTTTAGTTAACGGCCATATAGTAGATATACCAAGTTATCGTTGCAAACCCAAGGATACTATTATGGCGAGGGAGGAACAAAAATCCAGAGCTCTAATTCAAAATTCTCTTGATTTATCCCCCCGTGAGGAATTACCTAAACATTTGACCCTTAACCCATTTCCATATAAAGGATTAGTCAATCAAATAATAGATAGTAAGTGGGTCGGTTTGCAAATCAATGAATTGTTGGTGGTAGAATATTATTCTCGTCAGACGTAACCCTAACTAAAATACAAAAGAAAGGGGTTCGGACAATTTGGCCCCTTTCCTTTGGAAACGGAAAATGACTTAAGGTTAAAAGTAAAAGTGGGGGGTTTGCCCCAGATTTTCTCCCGCTCATATATTCTATCCCATCCCGGTTTTTTCCTATTCATGTATCCTAGATACACAGAAAAATTTTCACTCCTTGTCTATTCTTTTATTTCCAGTATTTTAGGTATCGCAGCAATTCGAAATAGAAGAAATATATATAAAAATACAAGAAGGACCCAACTCTTATGTTCTAAATAAAGTATTTCTTGTTATTTGATTTGTTAAAGTTAGAAATGTTGGCGAATTCATTCAGGTGAAAGTAAAAGACGGAAAGAGAGGGATTCGAACCCTCGGTAAACAAAAGCCTACATAGCAGTTCCAATGCTACGCCTTGAACCGCTCGGCCATCTCTCCTACACAATGATTATGACTCATAAACCGAAGAAATAGCGAGCCATTACTATGTTGATATTTCTATTACTAACGATATTCGATTTTTGTTTGTATAAAATAGGTACGACTAAGATTAACGCAGCAATACTATACTATTTGACTATAAACAAACTACTAATAGAACGTAAGGAGTAGTAATGTAATAGAAGATTTTTTTCGAAAAAAGTAGGAGTTAATTAAAATAAAAAACAAGTTTTTTCCTTGTTATATATTTATTGATTCATATTTGCGAAGATGATGTTCCTATCCTTTATTCTATATCCCATATTTCCATATATAATATACCGGCTTCGATCAATTAATTGAAACGAATCGAATCAACGGATTGATGGGTTTATGGTTTTTAGATTATAGACGATTAATGGATCCCTTTTGATCATGGTTCGATTTTTATTTCGACTAGAATTTCATAAAATTCTCAAAAAAAAATTAGAAAATTTCCGTCTAGTTTTAAAGTGCTCACCAACAAATTTCTTAAATTTCCCAGCTATTCTATTTCCATCATAGAATGATTATTCGATTCTCTTTCTTTTCGTCTTTCGATCAAAATTTTTTTTGATCGGATCGAAAAATTCTTTGATTCTTCCGCTTCGATGAAATCAGAATAGCTACTAGACTACTCGATTTGATTTGTATGAATTCAAATGGGATTCAACTCTTTTTTATTGATTGTTGAAAAAGGAGTTGGGGGCTTTTGGAACAATTCGAATAAATAAAATAGAAGTATACGTAGTAGTCAAAAATTTGTATCTTTATTGAAATTTTTTTGTTTGGAAAGGAATCCGTTTTTATGTTATTTTGTACTGTACAAATTCTTTATTTGTGTAATCGTTTTCCCACTAAGGGGTAATGAGAAGAATTTTATAATGGATTGATACCTATGCCTAGATCGCGGATAAATGGAAATTTTATTGATAAGACCTTTTCAATTGTGGCCGATATCTTATTACGACTAATTCCGACAACTTCAGGAGAAAAGGAGGCATTTACTTATTACAGAGATGGTGTGATTTGATTTTCTTTATTATTTAGTTTCTTTTTACTGCTCCTAGTCTTATGAGAAAAGCACACACTTCGGGATAGTAAAGAACAAATATTCTTAATTCCATATTATAGAAACAAACCTACGCTTGTTGAAGGTGAAGTTTAGAAATAGAACGATTCCTTCCGTCGTGTATCCCCGATTGATGCAACCTCAAATACTATAGCTTCATTTATAGATTTTTGTATTGAACGAAAGGTTACACCTTTGTGTTTTGTATTACAGGTCAATCCTACTTCCTAGTAATATAGTACCAATAGGCGGCATAGGGGAAGAAGCACTACACCTAGCAATCGACAGCACAAAAGCTTTGTTAAAAATTACTTACCTACTCCCTTTCTTATCTGGGTTAGGACTAACAAGAATGGTTGGGCCAACAAACATCCATCTCGTTTGTACTTTGGATACCCGTATAACCATCGAAGCCTGTTGAAGTGACTATTTCCTGGAAATTAGGAGGCGTTGAGGACAAAGGAATTGTTGAAGTTATCCTTTCTATTTAGTATCAAGACACTTGATTCTAGTAAAAGCTCTTGCGCAAGAAGGTTGGCTAGATATTTTTTGTAAAAACACTAGCCCCGCTCAGTTCATAATGAGAATGTTTTAATCCCTTTTCCATGTATTTTGAATTCTCATTATGTATATTATATTTAAGGGAGGAGCCGTATGAGGTGAAAATTTCACGTACGGTTCTGGAACGGCGATTCTTTGAATCGAATAACGACCGTAACGGATGTCAGCTCAATCCGAAGGAAATTATGCGGAAGCTTTACAGAATTATTATGAAGCTATGCGACTAGAAATCGATCCTTACGATCGAAGTTATATACTCTATAATATAGGCCTTATTCACACAAGTAATGGAGAACATACGAAAGCTTTAGAATATTATTTTAGGGCACTAGAACGAAACCCATTCTTACCACAAGCTTTTAATAATATGGCAGTGATCTGTCATTACGTGCGGCTATCTCCACTATAGAAAGAAAAAAGAAGACCCAATTTTCTAGTAAATACTAAAAAAAGGATCGCTACAAACGCATCGTCCAAAACGACGATTTCTTTGAGCTGTAGCAAAGAAAAAAACTTCATACTAATAGAAGTCAAAATATGCCCAGATACTTTTTTCTATATCTATGGATAAAAAAACATCTAATTGATAGAGAGGAAGCACCGTAAAGATCAATTAATGAGGTTTTTGTCCAATACATTAAGAAAAGAACTGCTTACTTATGCCTATATAGAAATATAAGATAGAAAAAGTTAGGAATTAACTTATGTAATAGAGTCGATCCACTAAGACTGAGGTTTTGAGCGGCGGTGTAGGATCAAATCCCAAAGATAGTAAGTCTTTTCTTTCTTACTTATGTTTAGGAAGGAAATCTTTTTTCAAAGATTCTATATAAATTTCGATATAAAACCGAGATAGTTACCTTGCGGAAAATACAAAGGATAGGAGTAAATATCCGTGTTTTCTTCTTCTGCAGGTGGGAGAAAAGATAAAACTGAAATTGATTCTTAATTAAATCAAAATGAAAGTTTGAAACTCATGTGATTAACCTCCTTTGGTTCCTCCGAACAGTGGAATATAGATCTATAAGAAATCACATTTGGTTTAATGGGACACCAAAAGAATTGATTGCGGAGCCGTATGAGGTGGGAAACTCTCACGTACGGTTCTAAGGGAAGGAGTTGACCCTCCTATTCTGACCGGGGAGAACAAGCCATTCGACAAGGAGATTCTGAAATTGCGGAGGCTTGGTTCGATCAAGCCGCCGAGTATTGGAAACATGCTATAACGCTTACTCCTGGGAATTATATTGAAGCGCATAATTGGTTGAAGATCACGGGGTGTTTCGAATAAAAGAAGAAAAATTCTTATTATTTCTAATTTTTTTGTTATTTGTTCGAATTCTTTTTGGTCTTTTTGTAAAATAAAATAAAACAGAATCATTTTTCGAGGAAGAACCAATCAAAGAATTTTATTATATGCCTTTTCCGATCATTCTAGTTTGGCTGGTATTTCGTAAAGATAAAGAATACACAGATACAGTACAAAATCGATTTATTTCTTTTCGTCTATTAGCTATTAATACAAATAAATTACTATTTAAAATATAAAAAATATTAATAAATAATGAATAATATTTCTATATCTAGATATAGAAATATTATTCATTACTCGAAAATCATAATTATTCTAAAAAAAAGAAAATACTAAAATATTCGAAAAATGTCGAATGACTAAATACGGTTTCTTAGTAATAACTAACAACGGTTTGTGTGATTTTTTCTATTTTGAATAGAGTATTTTTGAATAGAATCTAAAAAATTCCTATATTCTATGTAAAACATTAAATAGCTACATCTAATACCTTCGAATTGAGATAAGAATAATCTAAGTTGCACAAAAAAGTCATTTTTACCTTAAAAAAACCAAAAAGGGGTTTGTATCTCAAAAAAAGGGTCCGTTGAGCGCCGCACATCTATGTCATAATAGATCCGAACACTTGCCCTGGATCAACTTCCAGATCATAATTGCTCTAGTAAATAACTAAAAAAATAGAGAGATGGAAGATAGAAAGAAGTGAAAGAAAAAATTCTAAATATCTCTCCGAGGTTCACCAATTATTTGAATGTTGGCAGGTCTCTTTATATGTCTTGTCCGGAAAGAGGAGGACTCAATGATTATTCGTTCGCCGGAACCAGAAGTAAAAATTTTGGTAGATAGGGATCCCGTAAAAACTTCGTTTGAGGAATGGGCCAGACCCGGTCATTTTTCAAGAACAATAGCTAAAGGCCCTGAAACTACTACATGGATCTGGAACCTACATGCTGATGCTCACGATTTCGATAGCCATACCAGCGACTTGGAGGAGATTTCCCGAAAAAATTTTAGTGCCCATTTCGGTCAACTCTCCATCATCTTTCTTTGGCTGAGTCGTATGTATTTCCACGGTGCCCGTTTTTCCAATTATGAAGCATGGCTAAGCGACCCTACTAACATTGGACCTAGTGCCCAAGTAGTTTGGCCGATAGTGGGCCAAGAAATATTGAATGGTGATGTAGGGGGAGGTTTCCGAGGAATACAAATAACCTCCGGGTTTTTTCAGATTTGGCGAGCATCGGGAATAACTAGTGAATTACAACTTTATTGTACCGCAATTGGCGCATTGGTCTTTGCAGCATTAATGCTTTTTGCCGGTTGGTTCCATTATCACAAAGCTGCTCCAAAATTGGCTTGGTTCCAAGATGTGGAATCTATGTTGAATCACCATTTAGCAGGACTACTAGGGCTTGGGTCTCTTTCTTGGGCGGGGCATCAAATCCATGTATATATGTTGGAATTTGTATTTTGGATGATTAAATTAATTATATTACTTTAGTTTATTAGTAGGGTGTCATACCGAAAACAAGTAAGTAATATTTTGTAATGTACGTATTTAGCATTATAATTATAATATATATAAATTTAATGAATTTTTGTTTCTCTTAGCATGTTAGTATATTTAGATTTGTAGTGACTAATTTAATTAGTGATTTAATTTACAACTAATATAACTAACTCATATAATATTATTTTACCGTTCCATTAAAATAATAATAATAATAATAATGTCGTTGCAATAGATACACTCTCCATATATCGTTGTATACAACAACCGTTGCATTAGGTGCCAATTTCATCATAATTATTAGTCGGTAATCTATTGCCACGGATAATTTATGCCGTTGCATTAGGTATTAAGCTAATGCAACAGATCATAGATACCGTGGCATTAGGTGTCATATACCGTGGCATTAGACCTACTGCAACGCCAGCAGATGCCACGGTACATGGCCGTTGCAATAGGCCTAATGCCATTGATTTTGATGCCTAATGCAACGGAATTAGGGGTTGCAATAGGTCGAAAATGTAGTAGTGTATTATAACAATTATAATCATCATCATAAAATAATCATGTTAAAGCATAATATTAATAGCAAGATCCTAGACATGATACTAATACGATTAATAACAAACCCTAGCATGTCACTAAACATTAAAAATCAAAGCTTTGGACCTAACGTGATACTAACATGAATATTAGGAAGAAAATAGGAAGCATCGCAGAAATCATAATAAGACTATTTGATATTAGAAATTATAGTTATTACTCTAACATGATGCTAGGAAAATCAAAACTCCCTAACATGACACTAGGAATCAAAATAACAACCTAGACATGATTTCTATATCATAATATCAATAAAACAATTAAAGCACTTACTTGGATGCCTCTTTTCTCTTTCTAATCAACAATCAAATTAAATAATTGAAAGAGAGATTTGGGACCAAACCCTCAGAAATTAAAACCTTTCACGTCTAGGGCGAAGGCAACTTCGAACTTGGCTAGGTGTTTCTAGATCTCGTGAATGCGGAATTTTGTATGAGAAGCTAGTTTAGAAAAGAGAGAGAAAGAGAGTAAGAATTTCTTGAGAGAGAGAGAATTAGATAATTGTTGATTTTTGATGATTGAAAAAGAAGGTTTAGGAGGCTATTTATAGAGAAAATCAGCCGGATGGATAGAAAAAACGAATCAGAGTTTTGAAAAGAATAAAAAGAATTAGCACCAGACGCTAAGCCTAGCGCCAGACGCCAAGCATTAGCGCCAGTCGCTATTCTTGTTGTCAGGCGCTAGAAAAAAATTTCCACGCTTTTTCTTAATTTGATAAAATTTAGCCGTACAGGAGGGCAAAATCGTATTTTCCTTAAAAACACTTCTTTTATTCTGATTTAAACTCTAAAAAGTCAACTAAAGTCAATTTATCAATGCTAATTAAATTAGGAATGAAAAGAACCTTATAGAAGAATCTAGAAGACTATAATCAATTCTAATTGCATTAGGAATGATAAATCAATATTAGGCCCTCCTCTAGATCATTACGCCGCATATAAATATCAAACCGGGCCCAATTTAGTAATTTGGCCATAACTTCCTCATTATTCATCGGAATTGGGCTTATTTTTGAAAACCCGACCAAACTACACTATTATTGGACCCTTGCCATGGACCAAACCAAACTGGATTGGCTCTTTTCTTAAAATAGGTTTTCAAAAACAGAGAGAAAGAAAATAAATAAAAACTATCCGCAACACTAGACCTTCCACACTTTCACTTCATTCGATAATGATTCGATGTGAAAGGTACTCATCACTGGGTTTGGTTTTGGGGAGACACAGATGGGTGTCTACAGGCACATATCCCGAAAATACTTCTTCGAAAGACCAACGAGCCTTACGAACACTTGCGGCCCAATATGGCCTAATAAATGGTTAATTATGCAAAAGCGAACCTAATGGTAAAAGTTTATTATGTATAGGCCAACCAGAAGCCACACGCCTTATGGAAAATTCTCACAAAGGTGTATGTGGACCTCACATGAATGGTAAAATGCTTTAAAAAAAAATTTTCATGACAAGGGTACTATTGGTACACTATGGAACATGATTGCATACAATATGTTAAAAAAAGTCTAGAGTGCCAAATGTTTGCTAATTTACAACACCTTCCACCATCCGAACTATACAATCTCACTTCCCCTTGGCCTTTTTCAACTTAGGGAATTGACATAATTGGAAAAGTCTCTCCAACAAGAATAGGAGGGCACGAGTACGTATTAGTAGCCATCAATTACTTCATTAGGTGGATTGAGGCTGCTTCTTACATGAATATCACTTCTAAACAAGTCGCAAAGTTTCTCGAACGAAAAATATTTTGTAGATATGGAGTTCCACATGAACTAATTAGTGATCAGCTGAAGTCGAGACCCTCTTAACTCGTTATAAAGTAAAACATCATCATTCATCCCCATACGGACCTTAAATAAATGGAGCTGTAGAGTCGACAAATAAGAATATAACAGTCATCATTAAGAAAATGGCAGAAAATTATAAAGACTAGCCGAATAAACTACACTTTGCATTATGGGGTTATAGAACGTCTATATGAACATCAATTGGAGTAACTCCATACTCCTTAGT